AAAGATCTCGCCTATGAAAATCAACTGACACAGCACAAAGCAGACCTAATAAGTTTACCCTTCCATCCTCTGGGTCTCATTAATTCATTTTGGTTGGCACAGAGTAAAGCTGCGATGTATTGTTCATTATCTTAGCACTTCTAAGTTCACCATAATGACAATCTAACGGTATTGGTCGTTATCATATTCGAATCAAGATTTCAAATAACACAGTAGAAAAGTTTCCAGCATTTTCGAAACTAATTTGTGCCAATACCAGTAGTGTTTATGCCAGCTGAAGCTATTTACAATCTTATACCATAATCCTACCTAATAGCTAGATGTAAGAGGTTCGCAAATGAACAAGAACTAATTCAAGCTGGCCTATAAATTGAATCAAATTTCAGAAAAGATCTGAAAAAAAAGGAGTTATTTATGATCATGCAGTGGGCACATATTTTTGGGACAACCTGTAATCGGATTTTCTTGCAGCAGAGGAAAACAAGAAAAAGTGTGTGCAGCGACCCGAAAATGCGCAGTGACTAATTTCGGACAATTTTTCGCATATGACGCCTTAGCGCACGGAAACACGTGTCCTATCGCGATCAAATAGACCATAAGCGTACTCTACGAGATAATCTCTGAAAATGTATAATACCAACAAAAACAATTACAAGTCTCCAAATTTGCTTTGAGTCAAATCGAAAATAACTGCATTTCGAGTGACGGAAGATTCAGGGATGGATTTATTGTTCTGTGTCAAACATTGGGCTTTAGGTAATCCCCGATCATCCAGCACAACATTTCAGAGCGATTTCGATAACTCAGTATTATTAACTGTTCTACCACACTTCTAATAAGTCAGGGGAAGATGAAGGCTAGTACTAGGAAAAATTCTTTTTTGACTGCATTACGATTCGCTTCTTTTGAGAAGAAGTACAGTCAATCATATTTTTTGTGATATCACAAATTGAAATGGTATACAGGGTGTGCCAAAATTGTAATCACAGTTTATATAACGCGTTCATTTTCAAATATTCTAGGCCCCAATTAATTTTGAAACCTGGCTTGAAATTAGATTTGACTATGAATTTGTATCTGGCCCTATGGTACAATTGCGATGTAGATTTAAAACTTTAGCCCGCCAAAGCATTTACCATAACTAGTATAAAATCCAACGATTATCATAACTGCGCTTATCATAATGGATAATACTTTCAGAATAAGTTCCCAGAATTAAAAGAGCAATTTTGGATCATATCAATTTCTTCCAATATCACAGCTACCTACAATATGAACCGTGATCATACTGAAGTGAACAGGGGTACAAAATCCTTTCATAATCATGAGTTATTTACAAGCTAGCACTTCGAAACAATTACACGCATAAAAATTACGAAGTGAAAGAGTTGCACAATCAAACAACGATTACATTTTCTGAGATACCCTGTATATTACTTCAACCTTTAAATTAGAAGAAAAATTTAAACACCAATTTTCGCTAACCATTCTTTCTTGTCAAAACAAGCGCTACCCAAAAAAGTCTGACAAATGCAAACCTTCTCTTCAGGACCGGCACATATCAGCTTCATAATGCATTGTTCCTTATGCTTGGTAACAGCATGATACATTGGATTGAACTTTGATTTGTAAAGCATAATCTGATCCTTCCCATACTTCTCAATGGCCTCAGCTGGAAAGAGTTGATCGCAGAATGTGAGCGTATGGAAGGAAGAACAAACCTTCTGTAAGTCCTACAGTGCCAAGTGTGGGATGGCTGAAAACGACGGTAGCGATATTTTCGTACGGCAAGTAGTTTGAAGATTCGTTGTTAAATAAGCGATGAGAAAGACGGCGACCAGCGGCAATGGCAACTTAATGATCATATTCTACACTCGAAAAAAAAAACCGCAAGAAAAAAAAAGTAGATACTTATTTTCGCATCCTATCTCAGTAGTTATTTTAACCATGCAATTTTATAGATTAAATCTATGAGAATGACAAGTGTAAATCACAACATAAGTTTATTGGAGAATTGTTCACCTGGTGTGAGTAAGAACTTTCCAGCAGCATCACCAATACACTGTATATTAGGATTAGAGGTATTTTGAAATGCGTCGACAATTACGTTCCCTTGTTTGTCTGTTTTCACGCCAACCTGAATACGGAAGGTGAGAACAAGTCAGAGGAAAACACTGAATTTGACCAGACCTTGTCAAGGTTCAAGTTTGCTGTGTGTGGAGTACGTCCTATTGCCCAAATTAAAGTTTCTACTTCATCAATTACTCCTTTATTTGTTTTGACAGTCAGAAGACCATCTGCACGTTTTTCTACTTCCTCGACCTGAACAGCAAATTGCAAAAGTGTGAAGGTCTAGAGAATCGAAAAGATGTGTCTGCGTCATAAATTTTGTCTTTCTTACACACAAATACTATTAGTGACGCAAAGAAAGCAAAAAAGGGTTAGTCACACCTGTGTTCTTTTATGGATAGTAACTGGCCCTTTGTCCATTGCTTCTGTTAAGCCGGTACTAAGAGTTTCGTCAAAAGTACGAAGAACCTGCAACAAAAATTTAGTTTCTTTTAAAGAGTAAAATTACATTAAAAGACCTTATCATATCGTATCAAAAGATGTGTGTCAGAACCGAGATTGCCCAAGACTCCTGCAAGCTCAACTGCTATGTACCCTGCACCAACTACAACACTTTTCCTACAATTATTTTTATGAGAAGTTTGATTAGCCATACTCATATGTGCAAGAGAAGCACATGTCCTAGAATCACAAACTTCGGTAGATTTTCAAGCTCGAAGAAGCCATCACTGTCCGTGCCGTACTCTGCGCCAGGAATATAGGGAATAGTCGGGAAGCCTGAAACGTCGAAAATTGGTGCTAGAAAAATGGATTTTCTCTGTCTTGCCTCCAACAGCTATTAGCGTATGTTTTCCCTTGTATTTTTGCCCATTCACCTCTACTGTTCCATCATCGGCAAATGCTCCTCGTCCCCGAATAAGCTCTACTTTGGACTGAAATAAAAGATTAATAAAGATACAATGCCATCATCATAAAGAAAAGACATGATTTATACATGAAGCAAGGGAACTGACACCGTTGAGATTGCTTTCATAGATACCGTTTAAGCGCCGAATGTACTCATCTCGTGACTTTTTGATCACGCTAAAAGAATATCTAATTGACGTCCGTTGAAACAGTGACTATCAGGTACCTCCAGTCAAATTTGTTGAAGGTGACATCAAAACCATAGTCAGCATGATCACGGATAAATTCCGCATGCATTGAGCAATTGAACATGACTTTTTTTGGGACGCACCCTACATTGACCTAAAAAGTTTCGAGAGAAGATTAGTATCCGAATTCTATGTCCAATATTCCATGAAAGCTCATTCTGAATTTACATATGGAAATTCACGACTCACGCAAGTTCCGCCCAAGCGTCCTTCCTCAATAAGCGCGACCGATACTCCAAATTCTCGAGCACGACGTGCTGAGGCAATACCTCCAGAACCGCCTCCAATAACGAGATAATCGAATTCACGAACACTACTCATCTGCCTGGATGGCTTTCTATTAAAATAAAAGAATTGGAAAAGTATATAACAGTTTTTAACAATACCATGCTTAAAAGAAATTTCCTCTTGGAAAAAATGGTAGATTTTCTTACGGACAGAACCATTTATGCAAAGACAAAGATGGATAGATAATGGATATTATGGATTCAAGGTTTTCCCAAGAGAAAAGATTCAAGATGTTTCCAAGACATCGTGAAGTAATTCAGTCAAAATCTTAGAAAGCCTCAAGATGCACGCAAAACAAGCAAATAAAGTAATTAAAATAAGTACTCAGGCAGAAACGAAGGTAAAACAAACTATTTCAAAAATTTTGAAATCAAACCTTGAAAGAAATAATGCTTTGGTGACAACAAGTCATTATACTTCCAATTTCTTGAATTCAAAAATGGGTAGTTCAAAACAAATTTTAATTAAAACAAATCGCAAATCAGCTCATGCACATGAAATTTGCGACAATTCTTAGGGTAGGACTACATTACTCACTGAACTTTACGAATACGGACGGTCTCGACGCAAGCGGAGACAAAGATCACCGTCCATTCGCGCATGCGCGCAATTAGTAGGAGACTTTGTCCGCGTACCTTTTGAATTGACTAATTTTAGCTATCTCGGACTTGCTAACAGACTCCTCAAAATACATGCATGCATCGGCTAATGACAAGGACAAGTTGAATTATCATTCGGGTTAGTACCTGCATGATTTACACTAAGGTACTTGACTGTAATTTGTAGAGCGGAACATGACCACGTTGATGTTTGGAAGAATTAAATCAAATTCCGCAACTTTCGTCCCAATACATAAAGATCACGCTTTAGAAAACCATATTATATCTATGCGCCTATCTCTATTATGTGACCCTGGAGTTTGGCATATTGATTATGATTTACATGTCATTTGCGACGCCATATCTTATTGTAACGTAGGTGGCACTCCATGCATTTGCCTCAAGAAGAATGAGAGCCCGAGTTTGGATAGGAAGGCTTTCTTAGACGAACGCAGGATGTGTTGTTGTGAGGCAAGTTGATTCTAACCGAGTTATTTGTTTTTAAAAGTTGTCTTAAGAGAAGTCGCACGGCCAAAATTTGATTATCAACAAGCAGTTTCAGATTTTGCAAAGATGAGAAACGGATTACGTTCACATCGCAAAAACTCCAGAAAGACTCCTTTGCGCCATACATACGATAGGGTGAAAATTTTGCTCACCGCTTCTACCACCTTGGGACAGCAAGCA